GTGGAGCCCCACGTGGGGCTCGAACTCACATGAGATCATGACCTGAGCCAAAATCAAGAGTTGGATGCTTAACCAACTGAGCCACCCAAGTGCTCCTCTGAGTATATATGTATTTTATTTTCTGAGAGAGAGAGAGAGAGAGAGAGAGAGAGAGAGACAGCATGAGCAGGGGAGAGTCAGAGAGAGAGGGAGACACAGAATCTGAAACAGGCTCCAGGCTCTGAGCTAGGTGTTAGCACAGAGCCTGACATGGGGCTCGAACCCACGAACCGTGAGATCATGACCTGAGCCAAAGTCAGATGCTTAACCGACTGAGCCACCCAGGCACCCCTGAGTACACTTCTCATATAAAGTTTTTGCATTCTCAAATTATTGGGAGAGACATTTGCATTGAGTTGTCACAGAAGCAGATAGTCAATAAATCTTTGAGGAATGAGGAAAAGAAGGAGAGGGAATTGAAAAGGAGAGAGAGGGGGTGGGAGAGAAGTGGGAAACAGGTTCCAGCTATGAAGCTGTGTATCCCATCAGTCCCTCCTGCTTAGCCCTCCCAATAACCCCACAATACACACATTATCGTTGGCTTCAGTTTTCAGATGTCTGAGACTCAGAGACAGGCTGTCACTCTCCTTAGTAACATGTTTCAGTGACATCAGAATTTGAACCCAGATATGGTTGAGTGACTGCACTTAAGAACACAGCACTGCTTGACCTACACTTGTTAGGTATGGGGCAGATGTCTCCCATGGCAGGGTGTAACTTTTCAATTAGTTATTTGCCTGGAACACTATTCAATCACACATTTTCCATTCATTCCATCCCTCCCCCATTCATTCCCACAATCACACAGGAAGCCTAATTCCCTTGTTTACTGTACCCATCCTCCATTCTCATCCCCGCCTTCTTCCTTTACTGGGAAATAGGAGGCCTGGGTAGGCTGTCAGGCACCCGGCTCAGTGTGGACCCTTCCCAGCCCTCCTGGGCATGCACTCCGAGGGCCAGGCAAGGCCATTCTTTCCTCTCTTCCCTGCTCTGAAGCTCAATCCATAGCAAATGGTCCTACCAACTAATCTCAGAAGCTTCCCCACTCATCACTGTTCTTCAGGCCAGTTTCCTGGAAGAATTCATTGAGTTTCCTAGAAAATGTTCCTGGTCATCTTCTCTTTCCATGACTATAATTCATTACTTTCCATATGTCCTAATTAGTTTAATGCTCAGTCTTTGATCTGCATTTGACATCTGACCTGTTTCTGCGAGGTGAAGTCCAAGAAGCCAATAGCTACCCTGGAGATGGCGTCATTGCCATGATCTTGTACCATGGAAATGACACAAACGGCCTTTTAAAAAGCCACTGCATGGGGATCAGAGACCTGAGATCTGGTCCCTTTGTTCCAACTGACTTGGGAAGATCCTTTCCTTTTTATTGTCTTGAGTTTTTCCAAGGAAGAGGCAAATCTCATGGCAATCAAGAGCCTGGGGCCTTGCATCAGACACACAGAGCTCAGATCTCAGTCCTAGCTCTCACTAGCTGTGTAATGTTGAGAAAGTAACTTAACCACTGTGAGCTTCAGTCTCCTCATCTGTACAAGGGGGATAATGATATTATTTACTACCTAGAGCCTCAATAATAATACAGTGAGCCAATATATGTGAAGAGCAATGCCTGGGACTCAGTCATTTCTTGAGATATCTTAGCTGTGGATGATAATAATAAGATATGTTAGAGAAAAGGGAAGGAGAAGGAATGGTATAAAAGGAAAGGTATGAGATCCCTACGTGCTAAGCTAAGGTAGTCATAGAGTTGGACAGAGAGGAGAGAATAAAGCTACTTTTGGTATTTCCAAAAGTTTAATGGGAATCCCACATCTACTTACCCACAATAAAGCCACAGAGGATAATAAGAAAGGCAACCTTCTTTGCTTTTGGCTGAAATTACATTAATTCCTTGTGGTCAACTAAAAGGCTTTGAAATTAAATAGATCTGCCTCAGCCCAGGAAAGGTATGTGATCTGGAATAAGGAAAGTAACATCCCCCAAAAAGAGACTGGCGACCCTGACCTTGCAGGGCAGCTCTGAGGATTAAAAGAGATAATGTATGGAAAGCACTTAACATGGGGTCTGGCACAGAGTCAATACACGGTCCACACCCACCACTATGGCTAATATCCTTCCCTAGCCTCCCTAGGGCTCAGCCGCTTCATTGGTAAAATTAAAATCATACCACCTGCTTTACTCATTCAACAAATATTTACTGAGCCAAGTACTATGAATACAAAAATGTATTCACCAGACACAGTTCATGGCCTCTCAGAATCCACAGTTTGAAGTTGCTCATTATTCATCCATTCAACAAATATTTTTACTGAACACTTAGTGTGTAACAGGCTGCATAATGGGAATCAGAGACACAATGGCTAGTAAAACAGATTTAATCCCCAACTATCTACAAAATTATAGCCCAGAGAAGACGTAATGAAATAAGCTAGTGAAATGACTAACACACAGTAGGTGCTCGATGAGTAAAAGTTATCTGGGTGCTAATCAGAAGCTGGGGATGTGTAACTCTGGGAAAGATAGCTCATAAAAATGTTGCAGGTTAATGACTTCTTAACACATGAAATTTGTTTGATAGATAAAGGCTTCGTATGCAAGTGCTGAATCACTCTATTGTACACCTGAAACTAATATTACACTGGATGTTAACTAACTGGAATTTAAGTAAAACTTTTAAAAAAAAGAATGAGTAATAAATTTCTTAATTAAAAAATAAAATGAGGGAAGTCAGAAAAATGTAATAGTTAAATATATACTTAAATGGGATCTGTATGCTGAAAACTGCAAAATGTTGATCCACGAACACCTAAATAAATGGAGAGGCATACTGTGTTCATGGATTGGGAGATACAACATAGTGAAGGTGTCACTTCTCCCCAGAGGGATCTATAGGTTTAATGCAATTGTTACCAAATTCCCAGCCAGCAAGGGTTGCTTTTTATAGATGCAGGCAAGCTTGTTCTAAAGTTAATGTGGAAAAAAATAAGCCATAGAAGTGCTGAAACAATCTTGATAAAGAAGAGCAAAGTAGAATCACTCTACTCAGTACTAAGGCTTGTTGTGTAGCCATGGTAACCAAGACAATGTGGTATGGGAGCGAGATCAATGAAACAAAATAGATAACATGGAATTAGGCCTAGACAAATATGTGCAATTGATTTTTTACAAAGGTGCAAAAAAAAAAAAAAAAGAACCTTGATCCCAACCTCACACCGTATATAAAAATTAACTTAACTGGCTGAGCCACCCAGGCACCCAACATGTTTTTAAAAAAGGAGAAAATCTTCTGTTTCTAGGGCCAGCCAAAGAGTTCTTAGATTTGATTTAAAAAAAAAAAAAAAGTGATTCATAAAAGAAAAATTAATAAACTGGACCTCATTAAAATTAAAAACTTTGCAAAAATTCATGTGAAGAGGATGAAGAGGCAAGCTACACACTGGGAGAAAATATTTATAAGCCATGTATTCAAAAAGGACTAGCATCTAGAACATACAAACAACTCCTGGGGCTCCTGGATGGCTTAGTTAGTTAAGTATCTGACTCTTGATTTTGGCTCGGGTTATGATCCCACAGTTTGCTTACAAAGCAGAGTCTGCTTAGGATTCTCTCTCTCCCTCTCTCTCTCTCTCTCAAAATAAATAAACTTTAAAAAATAACTCAAAACTCAAGTGTAAAAAGACCAATCCAGTTAGAAAATGGGCAGAAGACATGAACAGATATTTCACTGAAGAGGAGATACAATGGCAAATAAGCACATGGTAAAAGTTCAATATCATTAACTATCAGGAAAATGCAAATTAAAACCACAATGAGATATCACCATATACCTACTAAAATGTCTAAAATAAAAAAATAATGGAAACACCAAGTGCTGGCAAGGATGAGGAGAAACTGTATTGTTCATACATTGCTAATGGGAATGTGAAATGGTGCAGCCATTCCAGAAAACAGCTTGACAGTTTCTTACAAAACTATTATGCAATTACCATAAAACTTAGCAATTTCCATCTTGGGCATCCCAGAGAAAGGAAAACTTAGGTTCACACAAAACCTGTATAAGAATGTCCACATCAGCTCATTCGTGAGAGCCAGTGACTAGAAATAGATGTCTGTCAGTGGGTGAATGGTTAAACAGACACACACATGCACCATGGAATGCAATGGGGCAATAAAGAAGAACTAACTACTGATGCATTCAACAATCTGGGTGAATCCCCAGAGAACTATGCTAAGTACAAAAGAGCCAACATCCAAAGATAGCATACTGTTCGATATAATGGTTTTGAAAAGACAACATTTTAGAAATGGAGAACAGATGAATGGTTGTCAGGAAGTAAGGACAATGGACAAGATGGTGGGCATCAAAGGGCAACATAATAATTCTTCTGGAATCTAAGTAATTCTTCTGCATCTTGACTGTAGGGATGGATACACACACCTACACCGTGACAAACATTTAGAATTAAATACACATACACAAATGAGCACAGGTAAAACTGGAGGGGTCTGAATAAGATTGATAGACTGGGTCAATGGCAATGTCCTGGTTGTGATCCTGTATAACAGGGGATACAGGATGTTACCATCGGGGAAAAACTGGGTAGAAGGTACAGTGGGACTCCTGTATTATTTCTTACTACTGCATGTGTATTTACAACCATCTCAATAGAAACTTCAATGAAAAATTTTATTGACTTGTATTTTAAAACTCGTATGTTATTAAAAATTTGAAAATACAGAAGAAAAAACCTGAAAAAATCATCATCCTGAAACACAGTATTTTGATGAATTTTTTTTTTCTGGTCTTTGCTTTTTACATTTATATGAAAAAAAAATGTGAGAGGCAGGAATAAAACTCAGGGTAGCGACATGGTGGGAGGCTTACTGCCTCCCACCTTCTATGACATCAGAACTCAGTGTTTGAGGGATGCCTGGTGACCGGAGGCCAGGAAGGAGGAGGGCGCCCCTCTGCCTGGCAGGTGGGGGTACCCAGCTCCACCCAGGCAGCCTGACCCGAGGCCATGGTGATCCAACAGGTAGGCGGCAGAGGGAGCGTGGCAGCTGAGCTTCTGGACAGGAGAAGGGGCAGTCGCTGCGAGGACAAGAAACAGGTGAGGCTGGACCAGACGCAGCCGCCTCCCTCCCGTCTGGGCTCCCTTTGGCACTCCACACAGACCGTAAGACCCTCAAAGTCAGGAGAGGCTTTGGGCCTGACTCTCCCTGGAGCCCGACCTGGGGAACACCGCATGGTGGTGCTTGGGTCCTCGGTCCCTGAAGCCACTACTGACTGACTCTCTTACTTAATCCTCAGCACAGACCTGCATAATGTGTGCTCTGGAAGCGCTGGGATTTTCGTTTATATCCCTAGTGCCTACAGCGGCGCTTGGTTCATAATAGTAGCTGAATGAATCAATGAATGAATGAATGAATGAATGAATGAATGAATGAATGACTTGAAATATATAGGATACATCTGAATTATAGAGCTCCCGGAGTATTTGTTCTTAGGACTGAAATTCAAACCTCGTGTAGAACTTTGTCAAAACGGGAAATGTTATCACATACTATGCACAGCCTGGTGCTTCCACTCCCCATCTCCCCCCCCCCCCCCCCCCCAACATTCCCGAGAGGCAGCTATTGACAGCCTCATTCACAGATGGATAAACTGAGCCTCAGAAAGNGTTCTTAGGACTGAAATTCAAACCTCGTGTAGAACTTTGTCAAAACGGGAAATGTTATCACGTACTATGCACAGCCTGGTGCTTCCACTCCCCATCTCCCCCGCCCCCGCCCGCCTCTCTCATGACTGACAACATTCCCGAGAGGCAGCTATTGACAGCCTCATTCACAGATGGATAAACTGAGCCTCAGAAAGGCAAAGAGGCCATATAGCCAGGATCTACCAGGATCTGAAGCCAGGTCCGTCGGATTCCAAATCCTTACCCTGCACTCTGCTGCCTCCCAGGTGGAGAAGTGAGCGAGGCAAATAAAGGAAGCCTGGGGAGGTCAGCTGGCCTGATGATGCACACTATGAAAAGAGACAGGATTTTATTCTGAGATTCATAAGAGGGCATTATTTGTTTGTTTGTTGTTTGTTTAAGCCTTTGAGGGATTTTAAGCAGAGCAAGGGATGGGTGATCTCTGTGTTTTCAAATGATTTGTGCACTTGTTTGTTTGATGGTGTCACAGTAAGGTGGGGGCCTGATGGGATTCCCATCATGCTGCAGCTCTTCCTAACAAGAGTTCCACAGATGCCAAGCCCCAAGAAGGCTCTTTGAGAAAAACGCCCAGAAGAGTTCTGCCATTCAAGGAATGCCGATACTCTTGTCCCCTCTTGGAGATTTATACTGCTCATTCACATAATGAAGGCTCTGAGAAGTTCTGCAGTAGGGAATTCACTTTGTTGACCACGGCATCTCCCAGACCAATCACAGACAAAGCCCCAGCTTTAGTTTTTGAAAGACCGTTCAGCATACTTCAAAATCCATTTTACAGATGAAGCAATTGAGGCTCAGAGAGAAGAAACCATTTGGCTCAAGCCCCAAGGCAACATGGGAGAAGAACTAAAACTTAATCCTGCCCCTGGTCCCTCCTTTGCCTCCAAACAGCACACAATACGAACCCAGCAGCAAGTGTGCTGGAGAAGATGCTGTCCTGTAAAGTACATGGACATAGGGGTTGTTAAAGAAATAGAGCATTTGGCATGAAACACTAATCAGCCATTATAAAGAAGGAGACAGTTCTGTGTGTCTGTAGAAAGATTCCCAGGGAACATTGTTAGGAAAAAGCCCCTCCTCCCAAACTTAAGTGTACAATACAATGATCTTTACATTGAGCATACACACCCACATATCACTCCCCCCCACTTCAAGCAATGGAACATTTCCAGTACCCCAAAAGCTTCCTTCAGGCCCCTCCCAGCTAGTGCCACCCATAACCATGATGTCTGATCTTTCCCATCATAGAGTTTTGTGTGTTCTTGAATTTCATGTGAATGGAATCAGTCAGTGTGTACCTTTATGGCTGGCTTCTTTCACTCATCAGTGTGTCTGTAAGACCCAGCCAGGTTGATGCTCTGTAATTTATTTTTATTTCTGAAGTTAATCTTAATACTAATACAGTTGTTAATATATATAAAGAAAACTATCTGGGGGAGAGGGAAATTACACAAATCTTTTATCTTCTTTGTTGTGGCAGCAGGTCTTAATCTGGCTTCATGAACTAAGGTGAGTAAGAAATATATTCTTTGAAGTCAAATCAAATCTAACTCAGCCTGCATCTAATGAGTTGAGGAAAATTCAGTGTCAGTCAGTGCTGTGTTTGCCTTAGTCCTTTGTCCACTTTTGCTTGCCCCTGACACCGTCACTGTCACAGCTCCCATTGTCTGTTGAAAGCAGGGGTCTCTGAATTCCCTGGGCTAAGGTCTGCCCAGACACACCACAAAGCCACTAAGCGTGGGCGCCAGGCTCCTCCAGGACTCAGACTATGCCTCTCTCTTCTCCCAGCTCTCTAATCTCCTCCCACCTTCTTCCTCTCCTAATCCTGGCACATCCACCAGAATCTCCCAAATGATCGTGGGCTGACCCAACGCCACAGAGCGAAGTTGTCGCCAGGCAGCTCCTTCACTCCAGCCTGCACGGAAACGCTGTGATTAGACTTACACTTGCAGCCCTAACACAGTGACTGGGGCGAAGCTAGCCCTCCCATCATAAGCAACCCCAAAACTGTCAATAGATATGAGACAGCTATTTTCAGGGGAGGGGTCCCAGGCAGCACAAGAGTGCGATCCCTGGGAAAAGGAAAACTCCCGACACAGCCTGGCCTCTTTCCCAGTGGCTGCTGCACCGAGAAGTGGAGCCCAAGCTTGCACAGCAATCCTGCTGAGCTGCACGGCCTAGGACAGCTAAAGCGGCTGGGATCTAGAGGACACAGTCCTGGAGAGGGAGGAGAGCTGTGACCAAAGGGGAGCCCCATGACATCTTGGCAGAGGGGGCTGGGATGTGCATGCCAAGGGCTGGATTAGCTGCTCTTAGCAGCTCTATATGGTTGGGAGCAGAGCAGAAATGCTGGAAACCCAGCAGTGCTGGGGGTTCAAAATGGACCATATACCTAACTGGAAAGCTAAAGCAATAACACGTCTAGAAGAGAGAGGAGAGAATCTTCCACAACCTTGAGTTTGACAACATTTTGTAGGCTGCATACAAAAGGCACCACCAGAAAGGGAATATATTTGTCAAAATGGAAACCGTTTATGGGACTCCTGGGTGGCTCAGTCAGTTAAGTGTACAACTTTGGCTCAGGTCATGATCTCGCAGTTCGCGGGTTCGAGCCCCGCATCAGGCTCTGTGCTGACAGCTCAGAGCCTGGAGCCTGCTTGGGATTCTGTGTCTCCCTCTTTCTTTGTCCCTCCCCCACTCGCATGCTCTTTCTCTCTCTCAAAAATAAACATTTAAAAAATTGAACCTTTAATTTACAAAGACACTGGTAAGAAAATGAGAAGGCAAGTCACAGACTTTGACTTTGTAGTCACAACATCTGACTAAAAAAGTATATCCAAAACACATAAAGAACTATAACTTAAAAAAAAAAGAACTATAACTTAATAAGAAGACAATTGCTGTATTAAAAAGAAGAGCAAAGAGCTTCTAATAGAAACACCCACAAAGTAAGACGGGCGAATGATGATCAGTAAGCACATGAAAAGATGCCCAACACCTGTTAATGGACTGAATGCTTATGTCCCCCCAAAATTCATATGTTGAAATCCTAACTCCCAAAGTGATGGGATTAGGAGTTGGGATCTTTGGGTGATGATTAGGTCATGAGGGTGGAACCCTCTTGCATGGGATTAGTGAGTGCCCTTATTTAAAAAGACCCCAAAGAACTCTCTTTGCTCTCCACCGCATGAGGATATGAAGAGTAAGTGGCTGCTTACAACCCAGAAGAGCGCCCTCACCAGAACCCAACCCTCCTGGCCCCCTGACCCTGAATTTACAGCCTCTAGAACTATAAGAAATTTCTGTTGTTTATAAGCCATGGCTCTGTGGTACTTAGTTACAGGAATACAAACGGACTAAGACAATATCACTCATCATTGGGGAAATGCATGTAAAAATACACTGAGATATTACTATGCCGCCAGTAGAATGCCTAGAACGAAGAAGACTACCAACACAGACATGGAGCAACTAGAATTGTCGCGCTGCTGGCAGCAATGCAAATTGGTACAAATCCATGGAAAACAGTTTGGTGGTTTCTCATCAAAGTAAACACACACTTGCCATATGACCCAGCATTTGCATTTCTGGGTACTAACCCAGGCAGAGTGAGAACACGCGTCCACACAAAGAGGTGTATCCAGGTGTTCATAGCAGTTGTATTCAAGATAGTCTGAAACTAGAAGGGGCCCGAAGTCCATCAATCGGTGAAGACATAAACTGTATCACATGCATACAATATAATGCTATTTATCAATGACACTGAACGCAAAATCATGTTCAGTTGGGCACAAGTAGCTTACCACAGGAGCGCCAGGATGGCGCGGTCAGCTAAGCATCCGACCTCAGCTCAGGGCATGATCTCGAGGTCCCTGAGTTCAAGCCCTGCGTCGGGCTCTGTGCTGACAGCTCAGAGCCTGGAGCCTGCTTCAAATTCTGTATCTCCCTCTCTCTGCCCCTCCCTCACTCGCACTCTCTCTCTGTCTCTCAAAAATAAATAAACATTTTTTAAAAAGTAGCTTACCACAAAAGAGAATAGACCATTAGTTTTGATTCATTTGAAGTTTTGGAACAGGCAAAGCTACTCCATAGTGATGGATCCCTGTGGCAGGGTAAGTGTGAGAAGGAAATGGACTACAGAGGGGCATAAGGGAACTTTCTGGGGTGATGGAAATGGTCTTTCTTTTGACTGTCCACAGGTGTAGACATGTCACGATTCATCAAACCATACACTTAAAATGCATGCATTTCATGGTCTGTAAATTATACCACAATAAAGTTGATTCCTTTTAAAGACCATTTAGAGCAAAAATGTAAAAGTGGGCCAAAGGACTGAGAAGAGAGGTAGGGCTTCTCAGCAGGAAGAAGGGAGGAAACACACCAATGGAATGTCAAGAGGCTGCCATGTTTCCTGCTTCTACAATGTTTGGGGGTTGTGTAATAAGCAGGCATGACATGGATAACCAGAAAGAAGTTAAGCTCTAAAAGCGATCGGAGAGCAGCCCCATGGCTAGCCCTCTATGAGGGAAGCAGGGATGCCTACTGGCCCCCTGAAAGTCACCTCCTCCCTCCACTTCTTGCCCCCAGACGCTGTTGGCATTGCTGATCTTGGTACTGTACGTGGGCACAGGAATATCAGGTGAGAGTTGCGAAATCTGAGAAAGGAGGAGCCAAGTCCACACGGAGTTGGGAGGGGTGTTCTGGAGATGGATGCATGCCCAAGAGGCCTCCTCAGCCTGCCTTCTCCTACCTCCTTCACCCACTGGGATTACCAAACATGTTTATTTCAACTACTGCTTAGTTGCCTTTGTTAAAGGGTGATGTTCGTGCCTGTTTCAGGAAGAAGTTGGGAGGTGTCAGAAAGGATCAGAGAATGTAACTATCCCCAGAATCCTGTGGCTTCCCAGGTAACATATTCAAGAAAGGTACTGAGGGGATGTTAAGCTTGGCTGAGGAAATCTGGGAAGGCTTCCCAGAGGTGTCAATGGCGAGCTGGATCTTGAAGGATAAGTAGGAGCTGGCCAGGTGGAGAAGGTGGGGATAGACACTCCAGACAGAAACCCTGCAAAGGCTCAGAAAGCTTTTCGAAATCAGTGGCAGGGAAGGAGGGGGTTCCTACATGAAAAAGCTCAAGATGCAATTTTGATGTCTGCCTTTCAGGGATTTGAATACCAGTCCAATGAACCCGTAGAAGAGCCAATAAAGGTCATCAGGACCTGGTTGAAGGAAAACTTGCATGTTTTCTTGGAGAAGCTAGAAAAAGAGGTGCGAGAGCTCGAGCAGCTGGTGCGGGACCTGGAGGAGTGGTTAGATGCCCTTCTGGGAGAGGGGTGCCCCGAGGATCCCTGCTCCAACTTCAAGAGCCACTTGTGAGGGCCCAGGGCTGGACCCTGGGGAGGCCGCCGAGTGGAAGCGGGGGGAAGGCTTGCCGGGGCCCCTCTGATAAGAGCTGAGCTATGACGCCTGAATTTCAGAGCAGGCAAGAAAATAAAATAGTTGAGACCCTAAGAACTTTGTTGGCACCACTGCTGACTGATGAACAGACGCTGTCAGGAAGACACCAGGGCCCTGCTAGATATCTTCCAGTGCACCAGGACGCTGGGGCACTGGAACCAAGCCAGGCTCGGGGGCAGGACCCTCGCCCCCTTACCTGAGATCCGGCGCAAACTCCCTAACTTCTCTGAGACAAACTGCCTCATTAGGAAAAATCAGGGACACCAAATTGCCTCACAGCATTATGAACGTGTGTATGTAGAGTGCCTGATAAACAGTTCTTCCTTTCTGACATTCCTTTTCCTTCCTCCCTGGAATGTAGCAAGACGATGCTGGTTCTGGAGTATATAGTTGTTTTGTGGCAGCTCAACTCTATGGCACAGCTGCTAGCAGCATAGACTGCCCAAACCCCTGTGCAGGCCAATTTGGTGACGGCTATCAAACTCACAAATGCGTTTACCATTTGACCCAGCAATATGCCTTAGGGATTTATCTACTATATGTGTGGAATATTTGTCATATATTCCATATATTATATATATATATATATACTTGTCATATTTATAGCATGCATATAATTGTATGTAACATACTATATACATTATATGTGAAATATATACTTACTATATATATGCATGTGTGAAGTTACACATATGTAATGTTACCCTCCTAGCTTCGTTTATAATAGCAAAACAAAGGAAACAACCTAAATGATTATCAGTAGGTCCCACATTAAATTAGGTAAATTAGGTAAATTAGGCCCTAGTAGGTATAAAAGAGAATGATGAAGCTTTTCTACTGATATGGAAAAGTCTACAAGAAAGGTTGTTAAATGAAAAATTCAAGGTGTAAGAAGAGCCTGGGACAAGAATCTATATTTTTTTGTTGATAATGATGACGACGACGACGATGTTACTGAATGTGCATAAAAACAAGCAGGATACAAAGCGGGGCGGGGGTGGTGGGGGGAGTTGAAATGGGTAAATGTATGACCAGGATGAGAGTAAAACTTTTCACACTTCTTTATTTTCAGACTATGTTATGCTAATTCAAATATTTTAAAATAAAATTACCTATTATTTTGCTCTCAGAGACACTGGAATACAGTGTCTACAAGCAAAATAAGAATATCACTGTGATGAAATTACACGTGACTTTTAATTTTGATTACTTTGATTAAACAATAATAATTCTTATCTAGGATTTTCCCTTTCTTTTTTAAAAATTTTTTTACCACTTATTTATTTTAGAGAGAGACCAAGCATGAGTGGGGGGGGGGGGGCAGAGAGAGAGAGACACAGAATCTGAAGCAGGCTCCAGGCTCTGAGCTGTCAGCACAGAGCCCGACACAGGGCTTGAACCCATAAACTGCAAGATCATGACCTGAACTGAAGTCAGACGCTTAGCCAACTGAGCCACCCAGATGCCCCTAGGGTTTTCCCTTTTTCCCTTGACTTCAGAAGTTCAGGGTTCAGTTGTCCACTGTGGGAACGATATTAGCCTCATCTTTTAAATTATTATTTGCCTCTATGATTTTGTTTGCTTTCTAGTTTACTGGAGCTGATATATATGTGCTAATTATCAGGACTACCTCAGATCTTTGGAAAGGCATGAGGGTTGCAATTAAAATCATCTCCTAGAATATCTGACTTCCAGGGAAAGGCACAGCAATTCGTTGGTTGGGAGAAATTATTCGGGTTGCTGCTTGGGAAGGAAAATGTCTTTACAAGTTATGGTCACGGTTTTGCTACTTTGAATATTCAGCGGGGCCTGAGAAACTAGGATCTGTTTCTCTCATTTGCAGCTACTTCAGCAAGCACTCTGCGGGAAGGTCTCATATTGACATTTCTCTGCACTTATTTTTACTATTATAGAGGCTGTAGTTTCAGACCCCAAATCATGTACATAGGCTCTATCGGTATTGAGAGGGTTCTCAGGCATAATTCTGACTATACACAGGCTTAGCTTAACACACTGAGGACTCTAACCCCCATCGAAGTTGCAATTGTACTGTATTGTAACATATATGTGCGTGTGTTTATATTTGCATATTGTATGTATACTTCTATTTCATATATGACATAGTTATGGATACTTTTATATAACACATAGGTATCTAAAATTGGGGGATACATGAAAAAAAAGAAAATAGAGCCTAGATCCTTAAGGAATGAAACCACCCCCGCAGATATTAGCAGAGCCTTTGAAAGGAGGAGTCACACCCTGAAAGCCCTTATGCATCAATCACCCCACGTACCCACACACAAAGCCTAGCAGAAACAGCCTATGCTGGGGTGGGGCTGTAGCCCACTGGCAGTGGTATGTTGACTTGTGAGCCCATAAGAACAGCAAGCCACTCAGGGTAGCTCAGGCAATGAGGGTTTATTGTGGTGCAATAGCACGGGAGCCAGAATCTCATGGAAGTCAGGAGCACACCATAACCTGGGATCCTGGAGTCTGGACCAGGAAGGGCTTTGAGACCCCAAGGCATCCACCAAGGTGCTCCAGGGGCCCCTGCTGCAAAAATCTGGGAGCTTCCCTCTAGCCTTCCACCTTGACCTTGCCACTCTCTGGGTCTCTGCTTTTCTTTGTGTGTCTGCCCCATCTCTTCCTGCTTCCAGTGGCTTCCTTGCCTACCACTCTATCCATCCCTTTTTCAGCTCAGCACTTCTGCCTCTGAGTCCTCCTAACTCTGATTTGTTTCTGGTCCCACAAGGCCTCTCTCTTTCTCATGACCTTGCAATCTTCCAATGACCATATAATTCTGTCTGCACTTCCCAGATCAAGCTCCAAGCGAGTGGGTGGGATGTGATTGGTCCATTTCATTGGCTGGCGTTTCCTGTCCTGAGTCAGGCTCTGTGTCCACCAGCCTTTGGATTGGATGACCTTGGGATGACCACTCCCACTCCAGTCAGCTGTGGCAGAAGGGGGATGGGAGAATCAAATACTCCAGAATGGACCTTTCTCATACGACAAACAGCCTGAGCCCTTTCCTGATGAGTGGCTCTGGACCATGTGTAATGACCTCATATTTCCCAAGGTGGTCAGAAATGTGGCATAGAGACAGTGATGGCAACCCTTGTACCTTGGAACCCCCAGAGCCAGTATCAGGGAAGCAGAATTGGGTGAGGCAAACATTCAAAGGCTGAATATAATTGCTAAGAATGAGATGGAAGGGGCTTGACCACCAGAGTCATCACAGGGGAGTAGGTCAGCCTAATTTGGGAATATTTCATTCATTCTCCAGCTCCTGAGGGTGAAAAATACAAACGACACACTTAAAAAGAAAAGTGTGACTACCTTTCATGACTTTGAAATCTTATAATTTGAATGACTTTGGCAAAATGTTGTCAGAAGAACTATTAAGGGGCCCACTTTCATATCTGTAGAGTGGACTTCCCTTTGAGAAAGAAAATGCCTTTTACTTGAGAAGGCAACTATTTCCAGCTCCTTCCATTCAATCAAGAAATAGTGCTGCCAGCAGAGCGAGGTCTCCCTGCCCCCTCCCAGACCCCAACTCAACTCCCTTACAACAACCAGCTCCAAGTGACCCTGAAAGGCCAGGCTTCCCAGGGACCAAAGACCAAGTAGAAAAGAGAAACTGAATAATAAAATCAGGAGTCAAAACTGAAGGGGCACCTGGGTGGCTCAGTCGGTTAAGCGTCCGACTTCGACTTAGGTCATGATCCCACAGTCCATGAGTTCGAGCTCTGCATCGGGCTCTGTGTTGACAGCTCAGAGCCTGAAGCCTACTTCGGATTCTGTATCTCCCTCTCTCTCTCTGTCCCTCCCCAACTTGTTCTCTGTCTCTCTCTCTTTCTCAAAAATAAAAAAACATTAAATAAAAATTGGAAAAAAAAAGAAAAAGAAATGATTGGGCCATAGGTGTACCAGCCACTAGTAAACCCAAGGTTTACAGGCTAATGGGAAAAAGAAGTAGAAAAATCAAGACAAGGCAATTTCAGAGAATGATAAATGTAAGAGTAGAAACAAGGAAACCACTCAAAGAGCCACTGTGGTTTTCCAGCTGGGAAAGGGGGCTTGGAGTGGGGGGAGAGGTACAGAGAAGCAGAATTCAGTTTGAAAGTCCCATCAGCAGGATGTGCTGCAGGGTAAGAACAAGGAAGGAAGATCCAGATAGCTGTCTGCCAGGCCCCAGGACTCCGGCTCTCTTCAGCGGAGCGCAACCTGAACCGTGATTCAGGTCCTGGACCCAAGGAGCCCATGAGGACTGCAAGGAAGAGACAGGTGTGGTCTTGTTAAGGGGAAAGTGGCCAGTTGGAAAAATGTCATGGCCACTCAATTATCCACATTTCTTCCTTTGTTTCAGGCACCTGGAACATGAGGTCAGCACCACAAACAATTAAAATTTTTAATTAATTTTAATTGATGGTTTTCTCCCTCTCTCTCTTTTATTTCATAGATTTGGCAGTCTTCCTTAATGCTCCCTCAGGCTCTTCTTTCTTGCTAACACGGATTCATTCTGCATTCTTCCTTGTTTTAGTGTTTTTGGTCAGCTTCTTTTCCATTCCTCCAACTTATATAATGGTGAAAAACTCCTCAACCATCCAGCTAATTCATGTTTTAAAGATAAGAATCTGATAATCTAGACAAAAACTGGATAAGACAAAGTCCACCTACATGTTAGCTGTATGTGTTTCCTAAGACTAGAAGGATTATTGGGAAGAGATAATAAAGTTGTGGCAACAGGCATTTATAGACTGTGGTCCTATTTTAGGAGCTTGGTTGAGTGTTATTGTTGAGTGTTATCCAGTTTATGGACAGGGAAGGTGAGGCCTAGAGAGACTGTATCATTGTTAAAATCATATAATCAGTGAATGGGGATTCAAATCCAGGCTACCTGGCATCAAAGTCCTCATATTAACCCAATGTATTTTACAGTCGTACCTCCATTAAGCCTAGCCAAGATCATGTTATTGTTAGGTAATCATATGCCAATTAAATTTGTAAGGTAATAAATTCTCAATTCATGCTACTACATGTTGGATCCATAT